ACACCCTTGACCACGAGGTTTCACACCGTCAACAGATCAGGTAAACGATTTTAATTCAATTCTTCAATAATCTTAATTCTGATTACAACAAGGTTTATATAGAGAATATTACAGATTTTGAAATCTCAATCAAATCTCTCTTAACCTTATCCAATAACAAACTAAATAACTAACAACAATTCAAATCTGAAATTAACTACTAACTGGAAAATACTACAAAATCTAAATATCAGAACCATATCCCTGCGATCTGATGCACGGCTGAGATACGGCGTCTCCTACGCTGATAAACACGGCGAAAGTCCCGTGCACGTGACTGGATGTCCTCATCACATATATTAGTAAATATGTTTAACCAACACCCTAACTTGAGAATGCAGATAGAGCAACACGGTATGCGTCATTAACCCCTCCAATCCCAGCCCAATCCCAGCTCAATCCCAGCTCCAGAGTAGGATTAAACATTGATTGAGTAGATTAACATAGAGGGTCTGATACTTGCATTAATAGATTTTATGCAGCTTTAAGTACACAATTACCTATAACCATATAGACATCTAACTTAAGTCTGGTTACGCTCGAGCATAGTTGAATTTAGGCCCCTTTTTGTCCAAAATTTCAAAAAATTGAGAAGGCTCGAGCATAGTTTTGCAGCTTGGGAGCTATATTGGACTCCGCAAACATTATCCTTACCTTGACTTTGAGGCACGGACAAACTCAAGGGGGAGTAAAGATATTCAATAAGGTAACTTAACCTCACTGAGAACTTGTCCAACTTAGTGAGCAAAGATATTCAAGAAGATGAACCAAGTCCCTGCAAACTGGGTCAGTTATGTATTAAAGAAAGCCAGCATGTCACTTGACCAGGAGGCTGTCCCACAGAATAGGGAGGCTTGTTAAATTTCATCATCTGCAGCTAGAAAAGAGCACAGGCAGCCTTGACGAAAGCCTAAATCTTAAGATTGAATGATTCTTCTTTAATTTGTTCAACAATTGTGTTATTTCAATTCTTTGTTCCTTAGCTAATAGCTAGATTTCATATCTGTAATTGGCCCAATTTCATATTAATAAAAGCTTTTAGTCCACTAGACGAAGTTATTTTTCTTGCTTAACTTTCTCGCTAGAGTTAGCATGAGAGGGAAACACTTCCTAACATTTCTGAGCTGATCTACATGCTGCCGGCAGGCACAACATTATTTCTAGAATGTATTTCTAGTGAACAATCATGAACCACAATCTCCTGAATACGTTTAGAAAATTGCAAATTTCAATTTTGCAGAAAGCAAAGTGACACTCTGACCGAATGTTTAGATTAGCAGGCCAAATTTGATTACTCGATAGAGATCAATTTATGAGACCATCCATGAAGGAGATCATCAATTTACTTTTTAGTCAAAATGAGAGCGATATTTTTGAGAATAAAGATAGAAATATGAATGCATAAGCATAAAACTCAAAAGGAGAGACAACTACTAGTGATAAAAAGAAAAAAAATTGGGAAACTGGAAATTAAGTCAAAACTTACAGGGCAATCTTTATTCAGAGCCATGATTTCTCCACTAGGGTCAATGTCTCCTCTTGATGCAAGACACTCCATAACAATGGATCGTGCAGGTAACCAAGACTTTGCATAATAACGAACACTCTGGAAATATTTGAACAATAAAATTGTCACGTATAATTATTCTGAAGATTTCTTTCTGATCGTTTTAGTGAGATTGCACAGTTGAAACTTCTGCGCTAAATGGGGGGAAAATTAACTCATAGCTTCATAAAAGATTGAATTGTATCTTTATGGCAGCCACATAAGAAAGTACAACCTCCAAAAATTCAGTTCCAGCAAGAGCCATTGCTTTATGAAAGGCTGCATTTTCTTTCTCAGATGATTGATCAGGATCCATCCAGTCCAGGTTAAGGCGCCCAACTCTTGAAGACAAATTTGTTTTACTTACATACCTTGGCGGCTGATCTGTGTCATACTGATTAACTCCATTGTCAATGGCATCGATTGCCTAAAAAGGTAACAAGCATCACTCGTTAACTAACAAGAACAGTACAGTCATCAAATATGCACTTAAGGCAATAGCACATTATGATTTCCTTGAGCATTCAACTGATTTTGAAACTTGAAGCAGTAAATAACAACAATCTATCAGTTTATATAAAAATATAACAACATAATGTAACACTACACAAATAACAGACCTCCCTATAGAATACATGCAATAGGATAACTCAAAGAAATATGAGGCTTTTTCAATGGTTCCAAGCGAGCCCATACTTGAGACTAACTAAAATTATAAGCATCAACCTCCTATCTTTTTTCTTTTTTTTTAATACAATGGGTGTAGCCCATTCTTGAACCGTGGACCTCAATAGCAACTATTCCTACCAATGAATCTCGTATCACTAGCGCTGCAAACTACCTATTGAGTGGTAGACCTGCGGGTCATATTAGATTATAAAATTACAACCCTCAACTGGTCAACCCTCATCAGAACTTCAGAATTTTGGTGTAGGCTTGTAGTAGCAGGGACCTTTGACAATCGTTTAATAATATAACAGTTTAGCGGTTCAAAAAACTAAAATCTGCTAGCAAGTTAGATGAGTACCTCTTCATTAGTCAAATTAGAATAGTGAATATTACAAAATCTATAATGGAAGTCTCTTATATAAAATACGGCTGGACTCCTGGATATATAAATACCAGTTTCACCAAAAACTTGCATGCTTTCTTATTCATTTCTTCATGTTTACTTGATGAAAAGGAGATAATTACCCTCCAAAGCATCACAATTTCCATTTTAACCTCCCGCAAGTTACATTCATCATTTAGTTTAAATCCAACCCTCCACCCCCCACCCTTCCGCCCCAAAAAAACTTTTAAGGAATAAAATAGATTTTGTGTTAAAATAATTAACTACCAATGAAATGACTAAAATATACTTTCTTAGGTTAACTAAACTTAAAATAATTAATTTTAAAAAAATATTAATAGCAGTTTAATAATATTAATATTAATTATTTTAAGGTTTAATTACCTTCACTAGAGATAGTTTAGTGATTTGAAAAAAAAATATCTATTTTACCAGAATATTTCAATTTCATTCTCAAAAGTGAGGGTATGGGTAAATTTGAAAGAATGCTGTAATTTTGAGGGTAAAATAACTCAGGACTAGCTTTCCAGCTAAAAATCCATGAACAAAAAGGCTTCCATAAACTTAAAAGCCAGCTGGTGGTTAAAAAGAAGTATTCACAGTGCAGTTTGAACTTTGAACACATGCAACCAAGGAGTCGTCCTCCATTAAGGAATAAACAAGGAATTTTGGTTTAAGTATGTGTAATTTTAATACTAAAACAACTTGAAAAGTCAGTTATTTCAAGATTTAAAAAGCTTTCAAAATGAATACCTCAACAAAGCTTTTATAAACAGCAAGATACAGGCGTAGAACATCTTGATGTCCTTCGTCAAGCTGAAGCTCCTTTGCAATTATCTCCATCCCATAATGCTAAGTACGACAGACATACAGTAACAGATTACTACACAAGAACTTACAACAGGTTCCAATATGCATGTTCCAATATAAATGCTTTATGTTGAAACAAGAAATTACAACAGATTATTTGCAGGAAGTGGCTGATAAGAAATCATGCTTCCAATAATTAGTTGTTCCAACATGTATTTCCAAGAAAGCTAGCATTCTAAGAACTTCCAATGAATGATTATCGAGTGTACAACAGGTGAAGAAAGCACTGCATGTCATATGACAGCTTCGTCAGTATCAAGATAGATGCTTCTACTGAAACATTTCAGGCAGCATGTATATTACAGAAGTTTATAACACAAGAAGATAGTCCGTTTTCATGAGTGTAATTCCAGTAGGCAGTAACCTACTGACTGACTGACCAGCTCTACATAAGCTATCACAATAATATGGCCATCAAGTCAGGACTTCAAATTATTTCGGGAAAAAGGGAAAACATATTGATATTGCTTAAAATGCCTGTGAGGACAATACAAGTTTCTCTATCAAGTAGACCAGCCTTGAGTACAAGTGCACAATAGATCTCTATCTTTCTTCAGGTGGTAATGCAGATCCCCTCTATCTTGCTTGACACTAGATGGTGAGGAAGATGGAACCTTTGGTGTGAATTACTTTAACATGTCACCTACAAGTTAAATCCTTTTTAATGGTCCCTGATAGTAAATGGTTCAAAAGCAGATAAAGAATACCACGGATGGCGTTTGCTATACAATAGTGAAAACTTCTTTAGAAATATAATTGCAATAGATACAACTAAGTAATTAAGCAGTTTGTCTGTCAACTTGCAGTGCCATCAAACATCAGACCCGCTTCAATTAGTATAATGGGTAGGTACGACTGCCATATCACTCTAAGCAGATCTAGAGAGATTTCCCTATTGCTTTTGCTTAACTTGTCGTTTGAGTAACTTGATCATCATAACAGTGTCATTGTTCAAGTGCTTGTGTAACAGAGACGATCAAAGAGCTTCAGAATTTGAAGGCAGCAAGACTAGATTTAGTAAGAAATTAGTGCAAAATTTTAAAGGAAACCCAACAATACCCGTACAGAAAGTATCTAATAAATTATTTTAAAATTTTGTTTTATTTCACTTCTATAAAATAAACAATAAGGGAGGAGATTTGGGTAATTACAAGAAAGTTCGTCATTTTAAATTGAAAGTAGAGTGTGCGGTACACGATAGCCAAATATCAATTAACAAAGGAATGTTAACTCCCATTAACGATTTGGAGGAAGTTAACTTACCTAGAAATGTGTTATCTAAGATAACTGAAAATAGCTGAACTTGCACTAGCTCCCTAATGTCAAAAACATATCCTTATGCCCTGTTAACATACAGCAATTTTCCATTGAACCATCACAAGGAAAGTAGGTAAGGAAATTTCTAGCCTATTCATGGCTTTCAGCAAGTCAAAGCTCATAAGAAGGTTTGCCACCAAATTAAGATAGTTTCATATGAAAAAAGAGATAGAAAGCAAAAATCATAATGAGATCAACTATTATCAAAGTTATACTTCCATTCATTTTCAATTCCATTAACAAACCTGGCGTTATTCAAAGTAAGAATTTCAGCTAGTCATAACCATTTGATTGAGCTAACTGCAAATACAGACACCATAAACAATCAAATCCCATTAGTGATATGATTTATATACCTGAGACCACCATTATTCTACCTTATATACAAGTCCAGCGCTGCTTAGCTTGGTGTTGAATCCATGCTCAAGAACCTCAGTAAAGCCTTTCTGGTGATGATCATAACGATCACGATCAGGATCATATACACCACCAACATCAAGAACAGCATCCAGTGTATCCAATATCTGGAAATAATTTTCTCAATAAGAGGTCACAGTGACTAATTAACATTGCATAACTCTAACATGTCATATCAAGATCTGCATAAAAACACATGTAGAAAACAAAGCGGTCAAGTTTTTAATGTAAAATAAATTTTATATTTTACTTGGAAATTAGATCTGAACAAACGATGTAATAATTTGTGCATAGTGAACGTCCACCATTAGAGAAAGAAATCAACAATTAGCTTAATACCTTATAGGAAAAAATATTGTAACTCATTTTTCCATAAATAAATTATGCCAGTACGAAGTAGCAATTTAGTAATATCTAAATTAACCCAAAAAATATTTATGTTGGGCTTGCCTACAGCTGACCGAAAACCAACTCAATCAACCTAAAATTTATTAAACGGTTATGACCATTCTTCCATTTATCTATGTTGAATATAGTAGGGTATGTTTAAATATAGTAGGGTATAATCTCATATCACGTATAAGTGGTAGTGAATCTATCAATATTTGGTAATGCTTAGCTCCTTATTTGCCTAAATCTAACAATCTCCATTAATAGTCGTCTTCTCACTATCATATATATTTCTTACTGCCACTGCATAATCAATGTTCATTCAGGTAATCCTAGCAAGTGTTGCTTCCTTAACTACCCTACAACTCATCTTAACTGGTTCATCCATTGGCTTCTTCATTGCATGCATAGAAACCATGTAGAATGATCCTCCCATCACACATTAACTGAATGTTGTTAGGTCTCATGTTATGAGCCTATATCTTCTAATCTTGTTTTGATGATTACAAACAATTCCTAATATTGTTTGTCTAGTGTTTATGTTTCTTATTAGGTATTCTAGACAAACAATATGTTGGAGGATTGATGGAATTGCGCATTCACGATCATATCCAATGGAGGTTGGCGGAGTAGTGGTTGAAGCCTTGCAATTCATGTTAAAGATCCAAGTCAAGCTTCATCCGCAAGTGTACCAAGATAGAGCTTCGTTGAAGATCACAAGCTTGGGTATATTTAGTTTAGGTTTTTATACTTGTGTGTTAATACTTTAAGCTCATATTAATCACACACACGTATTTGTTGATTTTATCAAAATATAAGTGTTTTTGATAAGATATTGTTTTATTAGTTTATAGACTTCAATATCAGTTTATACATATTTTATTAAGTCTATAAAATCATTTTACAAAGTTTCAAAACATGGTTTATGTCAAATACATGTAAGTTTACTTTTCATGTTTTGGACTAGTTTTATAAAATGATGAGTTTTCACTTTTAGGAAGTGCAATTCCAAAAATTCTTTTTATAACATGTTTATTATCATGTTTATAAACATTTTCCAAAGTTTCATAATTTTTGGAATTTATTTGTTATTTTTAAAGGCACTTTTAAAATCAGATTTTCAGCATGTACAGTACTTGTGCACGTTTATAAGTCGACTTATCAGAGTTGACAAGTCGACTTATGAAATGTTCTGGAATGTGCAAAAACTCTCTGTCAAGTCGACTTATTCGAACTGTTAAGTCGACTTAGACCAAGTCGACTTATGTCTTTTTCCAAGTCGACTTATGTGCTGATTTTTATGTGTTATTTTTATCTGGAAAGTCGACTCATGTGAATTTTCAAGTCGACTTATACTAAGTCGAATGCAAGTCGACTTATAAATATGACCGTTGAACAATAACGACTATTGGGGCTGTTTTTGTCATTTTCTTGGGGTTTTGGCTGATGTCTTGGGTTGTTATAAATACCTCATTGCATTTACCTCTCCCACCTAACAAGAGAAAAGTTTTTAAGAGGTTTACAAGTTTTGTTTAAGGGTTTAGTGTTTGTTTAAAAAGCTTTTAAGCATTTACAAGAGTTTGGTTTGTGGAGCAAATTTCACAAGAGCAAGTGGAGATCATCCTTGGTGTTTGAGCATTCATTCTTCTCCTTCTCTCTTGTCATCTTTAGAGAAGTATTTCTAAACTCATCTAGCAATTTATTATTTTGATTATAATTTCCATAAGCTAGATTTATATTAGTTTAAATTGTTTTATTGATACTCTTTGTTCACACATAACCTATTGAGCTTATTGTATTTATATTCATAGTATAATTTGGGGTTGTGGGTTTGTGACATTGAGAGTGAGCTTATATTGTGTTCTCATCCATATTAGAGAATAATCATTTATTGTTGTGAGCTTTAATTGTGAGGAACACTTTGTATTACACTAGTACACCAAGAGGAGTGTGTGGTGAGAGACGGGGTTGTCCCAAGAGAAGTGGGGTAGGTGATAATGCCTAGAGAGAGGTTATGATTCCTAACACTTGAGGGAGACACGGGCTAGAGATCAACACTTGAGGTGGTAGTTAGTGTAGTTACATTGTATGTGTTGAAGAGTTTTCGGTTAGCTAGAAAACCGAGTGTGTAGAGAAGTTCCGGCTTTCAAACCGGGTGTGATAGTGAAGATCTCCTCGAGGTGAGGAGCGGGGACGTAGGTCAGGCGGACCGAACCTCGTAAACATATCGTTTTGTTTGTGTTTGCATTGGCGCACTTATTTTCATATTTATATTACCTTTGTCAATTGCACTTTGTTTATATTCCCACTATCTTATTTTGTTTGTTTCACCCTTGTATTACTTGTATATCCTTGCTCACATATTGTTCATAAGTCATTTGCTAGGATATATTTGTTAATAAGTTTTAAATTGGCATAAATCGGATTAGATTAGCATAAACCCTATTCACCCCCTCTAGGGTTCCTTCCTAGCGGCATTAGGGTACTTTCAAATGTCTGAATCTACCTCTAAAGTTCACATGTGCTATAATTTTTACCATATCTTTGCAGTGCATTCAACCTTATCCATCTCAACATTCTATTTCCAGCAGCGCTTGTTTATTGAACATTTGTTTGATTTCATTATAAAGAAGGGATTTTTGCATAACTCTCAAACATTGTTTTAAATATGCCTAACATGGCATGGTATATCACTCGATATATCCTTTTACAGGTTTTGTCGCAACCGATATTGTCTCTAAATAACCTTTACCGCTTTTTATCTATTTTGGGCAATATATCCCCGATAGAGCCGATATATCAACCGATATGCTGGTCAATATATACTTTTATATGGCTTGTCACAAAATAAATATACCGCATTTGTAAATTTTTGGGCTAGGTATCATGATTTTCCCATTATATCAAATGACATTTTGGCCTTAAAAAAGTAGACATTTTGTCCAACATGGATTTGTACTTTTGTTTTTTTACGAGATTTATTAGTGATCCTAAACATATATTATTTACATTTTGTATGGTTACATTTTATTAAGTATGTTGAGATTACATTTCAGTGCATTATACTGTATATGCAAACATCCGTTATGGCACTCTAATATTTACCACATATCATCGATATTTCCCCAATATATGCAATACGATATGTATCTTGGCCATCTAATATTTCCCCAATATCCAATATTTAAAACCATGCCCTCAAATCTTCCATATTTGCAAAATTAGCCCCAAAATTCTCATATTTGTGAAATTACCCCTTAATTCTATCACATTGAACTTTTGTACCCCTCATTTGTTCTGTTAGGGAATATGCATATTATATTCCTCAAAATTCACTAAAGTTAGGAGAAAATGACTAACATTGACTAAATTAGTCCTTTTAACTATGAAAAGGTTGATGAAAGGATCTTATGAAAGAGGTTAAGAGATGGGCAATAGAAACCGCTGCAAGCAAGCAACAACATGCTTCATGACATCGTAGAATCCACCTTTATTCCTAATCTTTGTGCTTCCCTAAACAATTCAAATGGCTCACAATGACGAGACCTTAAGAATGGATGAGCAGGTTTAAAGATTAGACTAACAACTTGATGGACTATAGTCAGATGAGCTCGTGAGCAAAAGGATGGACTCTTTGGTTGTGAGATCCCTATTGAGGTTTTTGGAGGGATGCAGATGTGGGTAACAGTGGGTTTCTTGGGGAAGTGGAAGTAGCAATGAGAATGGATAGAGAGGACTATATCTTTTTTGGATGACAGCGATTTTTTTGAGCGAGGTAAGGATGAAGGATCAGAGTTAGAAGCAGCGTGCGGAAATGGCTATTGAGACCAGAGAAAGAAGTTGGTAATTTTTGAAACTTGGTGGGGTAAACTTGTCATTTTAACCTATTGCCATTAAAATAATGGACAATGTTAACAAAAAGGATAGAAAACTTCAACATTGAACAATTGGGGATAATTCTGCAAATGCCAAAATAAGGAAGATTTGACGGGCATATATGCAAACCCCTATAAAGAATAGCCGGTGGTAGAGCCTTTTATAAACTTATCTCCTTTCCTGCATATTTCTGGTCAAATAATGCCTAAAAGAACTTATATGCTTTAACCATTCTTGTTCAATAGACAAAGACGAACAACCTCAATTTTAAACATGTTGCTTATATTATATGTACAACATTCTTCATTTTAAACCCCTATTCCTCTGAGATAAGCAATTTCCTCTAATTTACTATCACCGCAAATAATGGATCCTAAATAGAAGAAGCTCACTCATAGGGATTTCTCGCAACCAATTTGGACATTGTTCCTATTTCTTGTAATGGTGCAGAAGCTACATTCGTAAATTCTGTCCTCATCCTAGTACTTCTAAATATTTAATGTTCTAAGCATTTCTCCACCTTTCTAATTTTCGGATGATCTCGTCTCTGGTCTCATTGACTAATAAAATTCATTAGGAAGAAAAAGTATGCACTATGGGCATCAACCTGTATAATATAAGTTCATCCATTGCTTAGATAATTGAAACATGGGTTTGATGTCATTTCCTCGTGTAAGCCTATGGTGATAGCTGATGGGGAATAAGACTTACCTACCTTACAGCTGTTATGATTCTAGTTACTACTTCATTGTGCACATCTTTAATTACACTAATCACTTATTTCTTTGCTAAAACTCACAATTTCTCTGGTACAAGCACTTACTAGATCAATGTAAAGCATCTGTAGATCTTTTTCTTCTTCCTAAATTTCTCCGTTGGCCATT